AAGGACTTGTACCAGACTTCTACCAGAAACAAACAAACAAGCAGATATGTAACATAATTTTATATTCGTTATTATAGTTGTCATAACTCACAGGTACATACAACTTTTTTTTCGAGGGTGGTCAGTGGTTAGCATGCTGCAGCTAAGTTGTGAAGCAACTACAAAATTTCAGAGGAAATTTTATAATTGCTTCAAGTTTTATTTGTTGAAAATGCATAACACAGAATTTAAAATGTTTAACAGTTATTTAAGTCTAAGTAAGTAACTAAGGATATATAAAAAATAGGTGATAAGAAGACGCCTATGTTGTGAAATGAGCTTGAGAACTCGTATACGAGGTCAGAAGCCTAGTTACGTAAGAAAAGTTGCCTAGAAACAAGATGAGTGCACTAGTACTTGAGACAGGTTGATGGATTGTTGACCTCAACCTCTCAGAACTAGGAAAACTACGAAAAAGTTTGGTTTAGTGAGTAATATCGGCACTTTGAGGCGATATCAGTCACAGAACATGGGTGTAGCAGTACAAGTGAATAGGTGGCCGGCTAACACCACTTATCTATAACCAATTACTTGAGAGTTCTGGTTATGGTTTTGGAGTAGCCTGGGAATTCCCCTAAAGCATCTAATAGGACCACAGGACTACTTGTGAGTGATGCTGTGTCCTATTTAGTGGGTCGAGATAATACCAAGAAAAGTTAGTTTAAAAACCCATGTCAGAGACTGAAAGTCAGTTCCTCCAGGAATCAGAGAGTTCTTTGGGATTGAGAAAGAGTTCCTCCAGAGGTCTAGAAATTCTGAACAATGAAGATGTCGAATGTGACTAAAACTCCCAGCAACCCAACTCTACTGTAAGTATAATCTCTCTCTCTCTCTCTCAATCAGTTAGTGTTAGAACCATATAAAATATTAAATGTATTGTTACATCTCTGTTCGTTTGTTAATTTTCCGTATAATTTATTTCCGATGAAACTTCAGCAACACAAGTCCTTTCTTAAATAAAACTAGTTTATTCCCTCTCAATACAACTTTGGAATACACTTAATTTCCACAGTCACTTTTACTTGAACACATGCTTTAATTCACAACGATTCACGCACTTTACTACCACGTCTGACTCAATTGTCCATCTCTGTCTGTCTCCAATTGTCTATATCTCTATGCCGTCACTTCTCGCCGGTCTTATATACTATAAGAGCGCATGTCTAGCAAACGCTAGCGTCTTCGTAAATCTTCTAGACACTCATTACATGTTACCAGTGTCACGTGACTTCCGCTGTCGTAACAGTATCTATGTGAAAAGTGTTTTAATGCCTTTATATAAGTATTTACCCAAATTTGAATAACGTTTAAAGTCTGTTTTGATTAACGAAGCTATGTTTTTGTGAAGTTGTTAAATGTTTAATAAATGTTATTATACGTGTTCACCATTGGCGTGAGACTCTATTTCTTTAGTCTAACTGTAAACTACCTCTAGTTAGCAACTTGTGGCTCCACTCGTCACGAAAAATCCTCCAATAAATAAATTTGATGTAACAAGTAGTTTTAATTGAAACTCCAACAATTAAGTCCGCCAGGGCGCTACTCTTTACAGTTGCATGGTTCGTTAATTAAGTACTTTTACATTATTACTTTTCAATTTTAATTAAATTATTTTGCATATTTTTAGAAAAAGTTAATTTTTTAATTATTATATTTGACTAGAGTAGATGTTTGTTTGTTTTTGATTGTGCACAAAGCTACACAAGGGCTATCTGTGCTCTGCCCACCACGGGTATCAAAACCCGAATTCTAGCGTTGTAAGTCCACAGACATACCGCTGTGCCATTGGGGGCGACTAGAGTAGAATAGAGTTAAACTCTTAGTGATTCAACCTTAAGTTTTAAAGGAAAATCGGGGATTACAACAAATAGTTTTTATTACATTTCCTTAAGAATATAAGATTTCAATATTGAATAGAGTTGTTTAAACATCTGTTAACAAGTAAAAGCTTGGAATGGTCCATTCTTTCATTAGGGTGTGTCTGACTCACAGACATACCCCAATAAAATAATAGACAATTCCAATCTTTTGCATGTTGTTGAACAAATGTTTAAACAACTCTATTCAATT